GGGTACCAAATACAGAGAAAGAACAAATGATTACCATAAACAGCTGCAATTTAAATGAGGAACACTTTCTTACTTAGCATCCTCTCTGCTTTCTGGAGATTACAGAAGGCATCACACTCACACACTTTCAAGCATCTTTTCGAAGCCATAAGGTCTAGGAAGGAACTTTTTCTTTTCAAAATGAAAGCCAGGATTTTCAGGAATCTGCATTCTGTATCCCTTAATGATATCCTGTGCCTTTTTCGCACTGCTGTTGAATCACAGCACTCATGCCTACTTAAATACTGACTTGTCTCCCCTATTAACTTTTCTTCCTTACTGTGTATTATCAAGGGGAAACACTGCTCTGACAGCTTTAGAAAATGAATAATTTGATGTGATTTTTTAAAAAATAAACATTATTTAGAGGTCACTTTGGGGGACATATAGCCCATTATGGCTTCATCAGGGCTCCTCTCCTTGAAAAACCAACAGGGTAAGTGGAAGAGAGGGACCTCTCAAAGTTATAGGAAGTGCTGGACTGAGTTTGCCTGGCTGTGACAACCTGTGCAACAACAACAACAAGCAAAGTAGTTCTGTTTCCTCCAACATTTCATTCTGCAGGATGTTCGAACCCAGCCTCTCTGCAGAACAAGCACAGAGGGAAAGCGTTTGACCTAACAATCTACCATTTATAGCGGCTTCAAATTTATAGACCCCAAGCCTCAAAAAACAGAGGGGTCAGCGTTTGTTCCACTGTGCTGACTCGCTGCCTTTGGCGCTTTACATCATCCTCTGCACCAACATGGCAGGAGGTTGTGCTTTTGCGTTTTTTTGTGTGTTTTTTTACACCCACACTTAGAAAGGCAGCACATGAAAACCTCCTTTGCTGTTTACAACAGAAGCGCAAAATAACCAGTTACATTTAAATCCCCCGACAGATGATGCAACTGAAAAATGTGCTGACGCGCTAAATTTGCCACAATCTGCTCTCAGCTGATATCAGAGAAGCATTTCTCTTGCAAATCACAGCGCCCCTTTAAGGTATCATGTCCTGGTGATTGCTTCTTTTGTGTCCAATTAATTTAAAAGGCTTAACCATGGAAATCAGGCTGAGAATGTTCCTCTAGCACAGCAACAGTCTCTCTCTCTCTCTCCCTCTCTGTTTGTAGAAACCAAATCTTACTAAAAATACCGGCATCTTACACTATGTTATGTTTTACAATATTGCTATTCTCTCTTATCCTATAAGAGAATTGTTAATGTTGTGGCTTACTGGACCTGCTTATAGGATTCTGTCATTTCATTATTATTATTATGATTTATATTATAGTTTTCTCTGTTTTTGTTCCCCACTCAGGGATTGAAAATATTCAATGAAGAGCAGGATGTAAATATTGCAAATAAATAATAAATAATAAATAAATAAATAGGTGATGGGCTCCTATCTCACTGCAAGGCAACTCTCCCCCTACTTCCCACCACCACACACATCAACCAAGATTTCCCAGATGCCACTGGTTGCTGAAAAGGGGGACGAGACGATGGCTTCATTTTACCCCATTAATGCTGTTGTATGTGGAACCAGACTGCCATCTGTAGCTCTTTCTTACTCCAGCAAGTGAGCTTCCATGGGGCTATGGAAGTCAGAGAAGATGGCCACCAGCTTCCACACACAAAAGGTGTGAGGAACCTTTGGTCCTCCCGATATTGCTAATCTGCAAATCCCATCACCCCCAGCAAGCACGGCCAATAGTGATGGGAACTGTAGCTCAGCAACAATGGGAGGGTCAAAGGTTCCCCAGACTTGCTGCATTGTACAGCTCCCCAGCACAGGAACAAAGGAAGCTGCCTTAATACTTGCTTTGACTTCTGGACTACTTGGACTGGCTGGCTGGTGGTTCTCAGGGATCTTGGGCTGAGGGTCCTTCTGATCATCAGGTACTTGAGCCTTTGAACTGGAGATGCCATGGGTTGAAGTGGGACCTTTTACATGCAAAGGAAGGGGCTGAAACACTGAGATATGGACCTGGCCACAACCAATGGGCCTTAGCTCCTGTTGGGAGACTGAATCACACTTCTTTTTTTTAAAAAAAATGATGGCATCTGGAGCAAAGCCTTGATGACTTATCTTAAAGCCAGAGGGGTGGGGTAGGGTGCCCCCATGGGAGCAGGTGTAGCAATCATACCTCCCCCAGATTCCTGCTAGAAAGCATGGACTCTTACTGCACCCCAGAACTCTAAATTTCCCTGCGCATGTCAGTGTGACATGCTCTGTGCAGCACCTCCAACAGAACAACTCTCAAAGGCAGCCAAGCTACCTCTTTCGGCTCCTGTCCTCTTAACCTAAACCAACACAAAGACTGCAACCTTTAAACCTGTTAGTGTTATCTAATGACTGTTCCATCTACAAGAGCTTTTCTAATAGAAACAGGCCACGATGGCTTATCTCTGTGCACAAGCCAGCCCTCAAAGAACCGCCAGCTTGATTGAGCGCAGTAATGGAAGGCAGGAAATGAGAAGGCTTGGTTAAGCCGCGGATAATCGATCAGTGTATTCAGCGGAGTGTGAGCTGAGCCAGGGAATAAGCAGCTCGGGGTATCCAATACTGTGCCTTCCAGTACAGAAAAGTCCCATTTCTGTGATCTATGCAGGAGAAAGAATAATTTATTGACACAACAATATAGGATTCCCCCCTCCTCACCCCCTGCAACATACATATGCCAAACATGTCTTGCTTTTCACATTTGTTATTCTTTACAGTGCAGAAAGAAAAATCTTTCACACCTCCCATCCTCTGAAAGCTGAATGACAAAGCTGGGTACTGGCTTGTGTTGTTCCGAACAACTCGTGAACCTGGAAATTAATTCACAGCCCCGTTTGTCAATTCTTTCAAATGTAAGGAAAGTGTTCTCTTTGCCTTCCGAAGTCCAGTATTTTTGCACTGTGTATGTGGAGTGTCCCATTTTTTATGTGTGCAACTGTGATTCTCCTGTCGACAGCTAGAATAAAACAGGTGAAATGTCAGAATCAAGCTTAAGGTTTTAAGCTATTGCCAATTTATACATGCTGGCAAAGTAAACAATCTGGAGACCCGGGGTGGGGATGGGGAGGTGCTCAACTTGTTAGAATTTGAAGGACAAGCAACTCACCACTGGAGAAGACAGAAAGGCAAGGCTCAGCTTAGAGGGGGAGAAGGATTTTCTCTCATTTTTATTTTTACAATAGGGGTGGGGAGGCAACCTGTATCTTCCTGAATATCTCCAGTTTTTCCTCCAGGCCTTCACATTTCTACTCAGGAATGGGTCAAGGATAGCCTTGGCCGTCGCAAGGAACCCAGAGGAGAAGAAGCTATATGCTGTGACAGTAAAGAAGGAGCCAGATCAAAATGAGACCTCTAGGTGCTGCTCCTTTCAAAAGATCCTCATCAAGAAGACATCCTATGCCCAAAAACCTAGTGTTGGAAGAAGTAGTTTTATTTTACATTTTGTGCATTAAAAAAAAAATGTTTTACACAGGCAGCATTAGAAAGAGGCATCAATGTAAGATAGTGGTAGCTGGCACCTATTGGGACTGGTGGGTTGGAAAACAGGGAGGCCAACAGCAGGTGGCGCCAGAGCCAATGACTGGGAAAACCGACTCATTCCATTTTGACACCATCCCACTCCTTGTTTATTTCCTCAGAAGCAACACAAAAGAATTAAGAGGAGGAGGAAGCTGATAGCCAGAGCTACCCATTGATTAGACTACAGTAATTGTAAGTAAGAAGTCAGGCAGGTTGGGGGGGGGCACGCTAAGGACAGAATGAGGCTGGTAGGGCAGTGTCTCATTTGCTCTAATGAACCAGCCTCCACTGAACAAGAGTCCCCGTCCCAAGGTAAGAATTCAGAGCCACTACCAAATCTGTTTATAGATGGCCGTAAAAATTTACTGTTAAAGAGCCTACTAATCCTTTTCATGTCTGCAGCTTGAAATCTATTAAGATAATATTGGAAAACAGCCACTAAATTAACTCTGGAGGCCTACTGGGGTAGACTGTAGCAGATAGCTTTTTTGGAAAAACTAACAAAGCATCTTAGACCACTATTTCAAAACGATTTTGAAATAATATGTTTATTCAATACACAGGAAAGGATAAAGTTATCTTCTCACCACCAGCTATCCCCGGCTCACTCTGGGGCAATCTGGTAAGACAGAGAGTAAAGACACTAAACGGGTATAGTCAACTCTAAACTATTATCCAAGCCTGCCAGATATTTGACTGTGCATGGAAGGATTTGGGGGGATGGAGTACACAGAGGCTGTTTTCAGAAACAAAAATGTTTTTAGAAATGAATTCAGAGCCACACAATGTTGCATGCAACAAAGCTCAGACCTGCAAAGGCAGAAGGCGTGATGCCAAAAGCAAACAGAAGCAGTCTTCCAGTTTGCTTAAAACAAGAGCAATTTATTTCCCTATATGTTCCTTTTCGGCTTCGCTGAACTGAAAATTCAGAACACCTCTGTGCTCAGAGAAATGGGGTGGGGATATATACTTCTTTCTAAAGTGCACTGTTATTTTTATATTGCAAAGAAAGTATTTTACCTTCATCACGGGAAAGCGTGTGTGTGTGTGTGTGTGTGTGTGTATACGCGCGCTCACAGAAAAAAATAATAAACACTATCATAAACCATTTCACAAAAGGTCACAGGCCACTGCTTACTATCTCTCAATTAATCCCACTGAGGCATCTTTCTGCTCTGTTTCTTGCTTTATGTTCTTTGAATTTCGCTCTGTAACACCTGATGTCAGATAAGCCAAGCAGAAGCATTCATTGCTAGCAGCCTCTCTTTTTTGCTTATAGGTGGCATGCTACAAGGGTAAGGGGCACAGATTGTGTTCCTTAAACCATATTTCAGTCTTACACATTTTTGTTTTGGTGCTAGACCACTGCTCCTCTCACAGCAGACCAGTAGCTCCCAAACTGTGACACAGAACTGAGAATATATCCTTGACATAAATGAATGATCCCTGTTGGAAAGGGTAGTTCAATGGCAAGAGCATCTGCTTTGCATGCTGAAGGACCTAGGTTCAATTCACAGCATCTCCATGTAGCGCTGGGAATATTCCCCCATCGGAAAACCTGGAGAGCTGAGGCCAGTCGGACAAACCTGAGCTAGATGGAGCACCAATGGTCTGACCAGCTATAAGGATGTTTCTTATGAGTTCAAATGCACACAACAGAGGCTGCCGCCCACTGCACTTCTGGCCAGTTTACTGCTCTGTTCTTGTCTCCTTCCAGTCAGCTTACTTTGGAGAATAGATAATTATTTGATCTATGCACTAGGGGCAACTAATCAGGGGTGGTGCATCCCATTTCGCTGCTTGAGGAGAAACAGGAAGTGTTGCTTTGCTGTGCCGCCGCCACTCCCATCACCACTACCTGCCACTGCCGCCCACTCTGCCACTGCTGTGTGCCCTGCCAGGAGGCACTGATTTCAGGTAAGATCACACCAATTTTGGGTGGGAGTGGTGAATCCAGCCCACGGGCGGTCCAGGAATCAGCGTGTTCTTACATGAGTAGAATGTGTCCTTTTGTTTAAAATGCATCTCTGGGTTATTTGTGGGGCCTGCCTGGTGTTTTTACATGAGTAGAATGTGTGCTTTTATTTAAAATGCATCTCTGGGTTATTTGTGGGGCATAGGAATTCGTTCATTTCCCCCCCAAAATATAGTCTGGCCCCCCACAAGGTCTGAGGGACAGTGGACCAGCCCCCTGCTGAAAAGGTTTGCTGACCCCTGCCCTGTTAGGAATCCTCTGACCAACAGTTGAACTGGATGATGCCCGATACCCACCCACCCCAATTCTAGTATGATGAGAGAAAAACTTTCTCCTCTTCAATATATACATATACATACACACACACACACACACACACACACACACACACACGTAATAATAATAATAATAATAATAATAATAATAATTTATACCCTGCCTATCTGGCTGGGTTTCCCCAGCCACTCTGGGTGGCTTCCAACTAAATATTAAAATACAATAGTCCATTTAACATTAAAAGCTTCCCTAAACAGGGATGCCTTCAGATGTCTTCTAAAAGTCTGGTAGTTGTTTCTCTCTTTGACATCTGCTGGGAGGGCATTCCACAGGGCGGTTGCCACCACCGAGAAGGCCCTCTGCCTGGTTCCCTGTAACTTGGCTTCTTGCAACGAGGGAACTGCCAGAAGGCCCTCGGCACTGGACCTCAGTATCCAGGCAGAACGATGGGGGACGAGACGCTCCTTCAGACGCTCCTTTCCATTTGCTTTAAACTCCTTTAAGTTTCACTGCTAAACTTCATAATTCACTCTTCATGCACAATTAAAGAGAAACTCCAGAGAAACAGTTTCCCAGACACCTGGCATTTCAGGCACTGGCACTTGCAAAATGTATGCTTATGTAAACATACTTTGTGTACTGTAGACACACATACACAGAAAGAAATCCCTGCACCAGATCATCCAGCCCAACAGGATCAAAACTGGAAGGCAAAGCCAACCCTGCTCACCCACCTGCAGTGAGGAAAAGGGGTTTGCAATAGCAAAAGCCCACCTGCCAGATCATTACTCAACCAGCAGCAACAAGCCTCCAGGAGGGTTCCTAGCAACTTGTCGCTTCCCATGCTCTGAGCCAAGTGCTCCAGAGGAAGAAACCATACAGAGTAAAGGTTTATCAAGAATTGAGATGGTGCGGTTGCGGGTGGCAGGAAGCCCCTTACAACCTAAAGGGCAAAGGACTGCAGCTAAGCAGCAGAGCTCAAGTTTGCAAACAATCCAAGGTTCAATTAATGGCAACTCTAGGCAAGGCTGCTGCCAGTCAGTGTATACAGTACTGAACAACATGGACTAACAAACTGACCCAGATTAAGGCTATTACCTGTGTTCCTTCATCAATAAGCAAGGCATCAGGCTGTAGGCTAATCCTACTCTGGATAGGCTCTTTTAAATTAATGGACGTGCCTAACTTAGGTCTGTTAATTTTAATAGGTCTGTTCTTAGAAGGAGTGGCATTGGATACAGCCCACCTTGCTTGAGGAATTTGTGCTGGATGCAAACCTGCTACTGCGCCACATTCAAGGTTCTGATACTAACTTAAAAGGCCCTATACACCTCAGTACTGGGTTACTTGAGATGCTGCCTTATCTCTTACAGACCGAGTAGGTCACTGTGTTCTTCGGCAGTTTCTCAAAGTCCCTAAAATATCAGAAGCCCACTCTTTCAGTGCCAGGCACCCACTCTCTGGCCTTTCCAGAAACAACTGGGTGAAAAGCGGCATTTTTACAAAAAAAAATACAAAATGAAACTGTTTTTCTACTTTTTCAGGTGTTTTTATGCTTTCATAGAATTGTAGAGTTGGAACCCTGAGGATCATCTAGCTTACCCCCCTGCAATAGCTGTCCCGTACAGAGATTGAACCTGCAGGCTTGGCATTATTAACACCATGCTCTAACAAACTGAGCTATTTAGCTGCCATTAGATGGATGTAAAAGTGAATCCATATAACAGAATAATAAGGATAAGCATACACACACATATGTACACAGGAGGGCCTAGTTCAGATGTCACATTAAACCAGTTTTAAATTAAACTATGGTTTAACGTGAACAAACAACATGCATTAGCATGCTCTGCTCCTTCCTTTAGGCAACCAGGAAGGAAACAGACCAGAGGCTGGCTACATGTTACATGTTTCTGTCCAAACGAAACACAAGCTCTAGTTATCACATAACGTGAAGCCAGCCTCTAGACTGTTTCCTCCTGGGCCTGCCAAAGGTAGGATTGGAGCAGGAGCTCAGGGGTAGTCTGAGCAGTGGGTTAAAACACAGTGTAATTTTAACTATGGTTTAGCTTGACATCTGAACCAAGCCAGGGTGTTCTACAGTGTTGTTCCACTTAGAGGAACAGACGTTATGAGAACATGGCCCCCATCATCTCTCTTCCTCTCAAATCCTGTAGTCTTTCCAAGTGTAAAAATCTAAAGGCCACAAGACTGCACAGATTCTGCCTTCTCTCTTAACAAATCTCTACAGGAGTTTCCTCAACAGGCACTGATGGATAGAATACACTCACTGAAATGAGCCACAGTGACTTTTGAGGCCTGGTGGCGACTCACTACTGAACAACTTGGTTGGGGGCAGAGAGAAACAGCTTGGTAGTGGGGATGTAGCCAAGGAAGAAAGAGGTCTGAGTTTTGCAGTTCGGTTGGGTGAAAGGGACTTGAAGGAGGAGGCTCCAAGGTCATGCGACTGCCTTGGAGGCGAGGGGGGCGACTGTGACACTGCATGAAAAGACAAAGAACTGCATCTGGTCGCTTGCCTGCTCTCTTCCCAGCTCAACCTATATATTTATGTACAAATAGGTATCACAACATACACCCAAGGATTGAAGTGCTCCCTTTCTTTATTTGCAAGGAAACTGACCCAGCAGCAGCTGACCTGGAACCTCCTGGTTGCTTAGTAAGGTAAGTGTTGAAACAATACGAAAGGGATGATTCTTATTAGAACAATTCAAAAGAAGGCCATAAACACTTCTGATCCCAGCTTTTCTTCTCCACACTCAACCTCTTTCCTGCTCCACTCTACTCTGATTACAGATTAGGGCTCTCCCACCAAAGCAAATTTGGCAGCAGGGCTGCTGAAGGGAGTATTGATAGCACAACCCTCCTCCTTCCGCACTTTGCCTGATTAGCATTTCTATTGCTGCGCAGGGCACAGAGGACGCTGTAAATCAAACACACTCAGTGTCAAGCACAATAACCAAAACAGTTACCTAAACAACTAACGGGTACTGTGAATGCGTTTAACTAAGCATCGAATAAGTGCCCTGGCAATTAAATTCCATTACGGTTCCTGAGACTTTAAACCTGGAGGAAGGTGAGGCCCAAGCGAAGAGGCCCTTCCAGAGGGCTCCTGGCATTTGTCACTAAAATGCCGTTTCTGGCACTGAGTTCGCATCTAATTGCTGAGCAGCACCAGCTGCAGCATCTATTGCTAACATTAAAAACAAGCTTTGAAGCCGGAACAGGCAGCTCCAATAGATTCCTCACCTTTGCAAATATCAAGAGGAGGGACAAAGATCCCCCAGAAGCTCACCAAGAAAAATGGCCTTTTAACAACAGAGTACTGATAGGGGTTGAAAAGGCTAAATCACTAAAAACACCGAACTGCATAGGCCCAAACTGCTTTTTTAAAAAGTGGTTAAAAATATAGTTTAAAGTAGTTCACGGGGGCGAGAGGAAACTGAGACAGTTCAGCAGGATGTGGTTGTGACAAACCACAACACCAGGAGACAACCAACCAACCCACACAATCAACGGCAATTCTCTTGTACTTTCAGCTAAAACAGAAAGAAAAGCGGGGTCGGGTGGGGTCAGACTTGCCACGTTGGCATCCCACGGCAAGCAGGAGCGTCACACCAAGGGCAGGAAACTTGGGGATGGGGTAGGGATTCTGCACAAATCCATTCCCTCTTGCTGAGTTATTTGAGGGACGTGACAGCACCTCCTCACTTTGCCAGCATTCAAGGGATTGTCATCCCAAACACTGCGTGAATGCGAAAGGGTGTCAACATTTTCACATCATCAGGTTTTCCCATTCAGCGAAATTCCTTCTAGTTGGAACTTTTTCATAAGCTCCATAACATAAAGCAGATCTTTTGTCATTTTTAAATAAAAGATTGTGGGTGGGTGGGTAACTGTACATAAACACTTGCACGCACGCACAGCTTCTAAAAGCCCCCTGCAGAGTGAAAAGTGGTTTGCCACATAATACAAGGGATCTGCTGCTTGAGTAACCCAAGACAAGCCCTGCTGGATAAAGCAAAAAGGCTCACGCAGACTGTTTCCAAACAGCGGCAAATCAGATACTTCTGCAAAGGCCACAGGATGGGCGTGATGGAGATAAAAATTACCTACTACTGCTCTGCCACTACCAGCACCAACCAATATTCAGAGGAATGCCACTGCGGAAGACTCTTTAACTAGCAAAGCTCATACTTGTGGATAGACCTGTCTTCGGTAAAACCCGCCTGATCCCCTTTCAAAGCCACCTAAGCCCATTGCTATCACTGCATCTTGAAGCATAGAGGCACAAACCCAAAACCCGTTTAGGGCACATAGAATTAGTGGCTCAGCTGTCTAGACCCTGGTCACTGGCTCTCATTTGATCATGTACTGCAATTGCATACCATATGCACTATTGCCCTAGCAACTGTTGACTATTCAAGCAAACATTCCTGTTATGAATTATTTGCATGTTCAATGTTCCAGCTATCAGAATTGTTCTGTATACACACATTCTGGCTATCTTTAATTAGATTTCATTACCTTAATTGAGATTATGAGCATGTTTCTCTATCTACATCTTCAGTTTGCTTTGTATATTCTGCACAGTACTTTGTATGTTCAGCACAGCATTAGGTACAATTTTTATCTGATCTTTCCTTTCAAGGAACTCAGTGTGGCACACATGATCACCCCATACAATTTTTTTATCATTGCAACCCAGTGAGTCAGGTACGGCTTTCTTACTGGGTGGGGTTGGAACCCAGGTCACTCCGGTCTACATCCAATCCATTAATCACTACACCATTTTGGCTCTCAAAAGAGAAATACCTCAAGCAATGTCATGTTGACCATTCAGAAGAGATGGATGGAAATGTGGATTAATGGACATTCCTGCAAATTTGAAAGTTGATGGCACAATAACCGATTTTAATTTTTCTAACAAATTCCCTATCTTCAGGGAACTCTCTCCCTGAAGAGAGTTAACACCTCTATGCATTGCTAAGCATTGCGAAGTATGTCTTGTGGTGCATACCCAATTGATAAGAGGTAAAGGGCAGGTCTATTGAGCATCACTGTAGACCCATGAGAACCCATACATAAAAACACTTTGCTGTCGTTGCACTTTAGAGAGCAGAGGTGGGAAGCACTTGCCAGTCTGTGTTGACAATACTGAGATAGATGGACCAATGATCTGATTTTGTATCAGGCAGAGTTACCTGTGTCCCTGTGTTCATTACTAATATTTGAATTAAGTCATCTCAGGGTTTCCAAAATCACAGTTTCAATCAGCTGTACTTTTAAAAAAACCACACAGTGCCTATTTCTTTGTTTATTTATTGCTGTGATTTATTACTGGGGTTTTCTTGTGTGTGTCACTTTAAAAAGGAAAAGCTCACAACCACACTTCAAGTTTCCATGTCTTGTTTTGTTCACCAAAGCCAGCAAGCATCTGTGTAGGAAGAAAGAGCACCCGGGGGTCACGCCCTGCCTAATCAGAGGTGAAGATTATGCAGCAGACAGAATTACACAGAGTAGCAGGTTACACAGGCAAATGCAGGGATTGGGGGAGGGAGAGAGGGAGGGAGGAAATCAACAGCTGCAGCATCCAGATGAAAGATTTATGATGATATTTTACCACACGCCAATGGAATTTTGCACTTCAGAGTGTGAAAATCTTTTTTGCTCAGGGGGCCAGCCTGTTCTGGAACTCAAAAAGCTTAGATTAAAAGGCAACAAACAATATTTTGAGCTTTTTATATATTTTTTTAAAATGCACAGACGGTAACCTGAAAATCAGCAAACACACACATACACAATGTATTCAGAAGGCTTTCCAGCAGCCCATTGCCTGGCATTAACACGATGGGCTGTACTCCATTCTGGTCTACCTAGGTCGCAGCGGTATTTTTTTGATCAGGTTACACAGCACAAGGAGATGAAATTTCTTATGAGTGCTTGTGTAATACAAATATGTAAAGCTGTGTTCTTAGTCGGAGGCCAGGAGATATGAGGACTTGGCAAAAGGAGAAAAAACATAACCTTCTGGGGAATGTGATTTTTTTGACAGAAAGGTTATTTGGGGGGTAAGGGGACACCAGAGTAGCTGTATTCCTGAGGGAGATGCCCAGAGCAGAAGACAGTATTATGGATTACATTCCTACTTTTGATGTGGGGTTTTTTTTGTGATAAGCCTGGAAGCTAAAAAGGCACCAGAGAGGCACCTGAAATTATCTAATTGATCCGCACAAAACCAGGTAACCTCTCTTTTAAAAACTCCCTTGAAAAGACAAGGGATTGTCTGACTAAAAACTCCCTTGAAAAGACAAGGGATTGTCTGGCAATCCACGACAGAGTTAAGAAGCCCAGAGTGACTCACCAAAAACTACAATAAGATAGAGAGCATAAATTAACATCTTTATCCTTGACAGGGCCAAAGCATGTATATTTTATTGTCTTAATTAAAGGGATCTCACTATAAATTGAACATCTGGGCTGCAGAGACTGCCACTGTGGTCTCAACAGCTGCAAGGTAGATAGTCTGGGCATTTGAAGTCAACCATCCACCACCTGGCTGCTAAGAGTAACTGGACATGGGGGGGGGGGGGGGAGGCCATAGTTTTGTTATCAAGCATGCAACTTGTTCATGGAAAATTTGAGAGTGCTGGGACATTATATTTTGTGCACACCTGGTTCACCATTAGTGTGTTGCTACTGTCCACTTACCTATTCTTCCCAGTCTCCTTCCTCCATTGTACAACATGTGCACACACATACACACCCCATCTCTGAGTCATGACCGCTGCCTGCCCCAGCTTTTTATAAAGTCAGGGCAGATGACCAAGACAGCTCTGAAGGCTGTTCGGCTGCCATTGCACCACACTAGTCCTTCCCCTGGCAGAGAAAAGCTACATGGCACCACTCCAGCTGCCTGCTCAGGCTGGTCACTGGCAGAAGTTATGCCAAGATGTGCAGGGCCTCTTATTGGGAAAGAGGTTGGCAGAACCAGCCATGTCAAAGAAGCTGTTCCACTGCACTCTTTTCCCAAAGCTCTTTTAAAGAGCATTTGTTCTGGATTACTAACTAACCAACCAAAGTATCATTGAGAATGTACCAGAAGTCGTAAAAAAACCTGCACTGTTTGGCTGTAAGCTATAGCAAAAATGAAAAGGGACATCAGAGTTGAGCTGTGGTAGCTGGGACTGATGGAAGTTGCAGCTCCAACCTTCTGGTTGGGCAATAACTGAATTCTTTCATCGTTCCTTTGCAACTTTTCATGTGTGCAAAGGGCAAACCAAGAACAGTTGTGTTTGCTGCCATCAAGCAATGCAGCCTAGCCACAACATCAGAAGAGCAGCAGCTGCCAGAAGGGGAACACAAGTATGACAATTACCTTTTCCCACCACTGAAAGAGGACCACAAATTGAGTTCTGCCAGGCTGCAGAACACAGGGAGTGCCTCATACATACAGAGACAGAACATGTGTCCACCCAGTTCAGCATTGCCTACAAGGACTGCCAACAGATCTCTGGAATTTCAGGGGTTCTCTCCCAACCCTACCTGGGGATGCCACTGGGGATTGAACCCAAGACCTTCGGCATGCAAAACAGACGCTTTGCCACTGAGCTACAGCCCTTCCCCTTTGTCCTTCCTGGGAGACAATCTAAGTTTCTACCACCATACTCATTGGTCACTACAGAGGCTCAATTTAAGTCCAGTTACCAACAAATCTGAGCAGCTAAACAGTAGGGCTGGGCGATAACTGGTTTTCAATATTGTGATATATCACCAGATAAACATTGCGATATATCGATATATCACGCTATCTGAAATAAAGAACTGTGCAGAGGCGAACAAGAGGCAACTGCTACTATTTAAGGGTCTGAAACTGATTAATGATATTATCAATCACCTCATGGTCACTTTCAGCAGCAGACAAGCCAAAATGCATTCAAATGAAACTTTGGGTTTTGGGCTCGGCTAACAAATGGTGGTATTCCGGACAATCCAAAGTACAGTGATGAGTCAACATGAATACAAATAATCTGGGACTGCCGGACTGGCAGCAGGTCTACTGGGAAACAGAAGACGCAGCAGCCTGGTGGCGGCAGAATCAACAATGTCAGGGGAGGGGAAGAAGCAGCAGCAGCCTGGCAGCAGGGGCACAATAATCAGCAGCCTGCAAAGCATTGCCACGGCAGTGGACAGCAGTGGCAAAAGTGGCAACGGCCTGCAAGGCCTTGTTATGGCGGCGGCAGTAGTGGCAGCCTGTGAGGCCTTGCAGTGGCAGCAGGAGACAGTGGCAGAAGCAGAGGTGGCCTGCAAGGCCTTGCTGAGGCAGGCTGCCACAGCTTCTGTCACCGCCTCCCACTACTGCCAGGAGTTGTTGCAGGCTGCTGCCACTTCTTGCCACCATGGCAAGGCCTCGCAAGCCCCATTGCTTGTGTCGCCACAAGTCTTCACAGGCTGCCACTACTATTGCTGCCATCTCCCATCGCCAGTGCAAGGCTTCATAGGATGCCGCTACTGGCAGTACCAGATTGTTTGTATTCAGTATGACTCATCACCGTACTTTGGCTTGTCCTGAATCCCACCATTTGGTAGCCAAGCCAAAAACCAAAAGTCCTGTTGGGGTGTATTTTGGCATGCCTAGTGATAAAACTGAGTGTTCAATGGTTGATAATATTGTCATTTGTCCATTTTAGACCCCTAAGTAGTAGCAGTTGCCAGGACATTGTCCTGTTGGCCTCTGTATAGTTCCATCCTTATTTCAGATATTGTGGTAGATTGCAATGCTTAGCTGGTGATACCACTGCAATGTTTAGCTGCTGATACTGTGGGGTTTAACTGGTGATAACATTGCAACGTTTAGCTAGTGAGTTATTGCAATGTTTAGCTGTTGAGTTTTTGCAATGTTGAAAACCAGGTATCACCTAGCCCTTGCACACATTGTGATTCGCGATATATTGCCAGCTCAAATATTATAAAACAATTATCACACTGTGAACTTCAAACCAGTGTTGGACAATATACTGATATATCGCCCAGGCCTACTGAGCAGCTGCTTAGCTTCTATCTCTCCTGCTAGATCCCTCCACAAGAAAACCTGAAGGACTGCTAGGACAGGGAAGGTTTCCAGCAAATTAGTCTCTGAGGTTCTCCACAGTCACATTCTTAAGTACCAGGAGCAGGGGCCCTTTCTTCAGCTTCTCTTCTATAATAGTGAGCAAAAGAGTCTCTTTCTGCCTGGCACAAAGAAAGCCAGCTCACAGAACTTCTGTAGCAGCTTTAAGGCTGCTGGCAGCAACTTCTGATTAAGTGTATGCCTTGTTAGCCAGCCTTCTAACCCAAACCGAAGAGAGGGCAGAGAAGGCAAAGGACCCAGCAACCCACAACGTAAAGCAAAAAGTCTTCTTCCGCAGCAGTTTCCCTTGGTTATACTAGATAAGGTTCCAACCCCAAAACGGAAGGCAATGGATTACCCACCCACCCTGCTTTCTTCAGCGCCATCAAGAGGGTATGTTGAAATCCAGTACTGATGCGGCACTATACCTCCCAGTTGCCACTCCTCACTCTGCCCAGCAAGAGAGAGGGCCTTACAGAGGATTGGCAGCACCTGCCTAGATTAAAATAAAAATAAAAATCATCATCCAATGAAACACCAAAAGCAAGATACAATGAACTAGCTCTCAACTGAGATGTACAGGGAGTCTGCTCCACAGAACTTATAGCAAGATGACCGTGATGAATAAAGAGAAAATATCAGACTTGCACTTCCCTCTGAGGGCCTTTTCCCAGAGTTTGATATCATTTCACATTTTTATCTGTCATAAATGTTTTGATTTTACAGTGGGAAGCAGCATCTTATCCTGGAGTGTATATTTTGCATATTATGAATAATCTTTATATACATAATTGGCAGATGAAGAATCAAAGCCCTGATTATATCGTGAGCCCTTATTTTTTCTTCTTATCTCTCCTTTTCTATGACTTCTAATTTTTGCTTTCTTTTCCTAACACTATCTCTATATTTACGTTTTGTTTTGTTTTTTGATGTTTCCTATTTTGGGTTAATGAACACACACACACAGGAGAGAGAGAGAGAGCTGATGGATGGAAGATGAAGGGCCCTGTTTGAGGGGTTGGGGAGAGAGATTCTCCCAGGGTAGGAGGATGGGGGAAGAGGGGAAAACTCTAAGGTGAGAGCAGGGAGGGCTCACCCTTTGTGTGGAATAAGGGTTAAGATACAACCTTGATATCTCCTCCTCTTCCCCTATCTTTTCTGTCTGTTTTATTTCTATTTAGATTAGTTTGGTTTATATTGTATTCTGTGTTGAAAACTTTCAATAAAAGAAATTGATTATGGAAGCAGCATCTTGATGGCAGAGCATCTGCTTTGCATGCATAAGGTCCCAGGTTCAATCCCTGGAATCAATTATTTGGGTTGGTAGAGAACCCTGCTTGACACCATGAAGAACCATGGTCGGTCAATGTAAACAATAAGGAGCTAGATGGACCAATGGTCTGGGCTCAGTATCAAGTAGCTTCCTGTATCCATGTTTTGTTCCCCCATCCCCCTTGAAGAGCCATCGCTAAGATTTGGGGCATATTTCCTGCACTTCAAAATAAAGGTTCACACCCAACTTCTGGGTACCAAGGAGACCAAATACCAAGTAAATGTTCCTCTTTGTTTAACTGTTATATTTTGGTACCAGAGTGTCCTCAAGAGCCACCCCGGAGTCTCAAAAGATTCATCTCCAGAGTTGTTTACAATTTCCAGTAACGTAGAGAAGGATTCCACAGGTCTAGGTTTGCCAGAAATGTACAAGTTTCCAACATACAGGCTTCATAAACTTTCCCTGTTCTATTTAAGGTAACTTGCTTGGAATCAGGGTTCAGTTGATGACTGTAACTGTAAAGGGAGGGAGGGGTGCAAAGTTTGTACAGCTGAGTGCCCTGAATGTTCACGAAATACAAAAGGAAATGCATACATGGTGCCATGCGCATTCCACTTTTGGACACCTGAAGTTGACAGATCTAAGGGTCCTGAGTGGGCTTTTATTGGGCAAAGGGGGAACTTGTCCCAAGCGCCGTTCAGCTGACACCACATTTTCAAGTTATGGCACCAATGTAACAAAAGCACGTTGATGGCGCGTCTTCGGCATTACCACTCAGCACATCTGGGTGCACGGCAATCCAAGCAACGGTCCACATGCCTGGCGCAACAAACTGAAAGGGCCACCCACCCTTCGTGACAGCTGGAAACTGGGGGAAACTAATAAAGAATACAAAGTCAAAGAAGGATTTCTTTTGTTAAAGTGGCTGTGTGCCTGACAGACAGATTACCCAGTAGTTGAAAGATAGATCTGAGGCAGAAGAACAAATATTTGGAGAAGGAGCTGAAGGTCAGCAGCTCCAATTCTACCATCTGTGACTCAGCTGAAAGAGAGATGGTGGTAAAGAGGGAGGAGGGAGGGCTTCCCAGGACTTAGCTCAAACATTTCAGCTCTTCAAAGGAAGGGTGGTTGATACACGGAATGCCTTCCATTAAGCATGCCAATCCATTTTTATTGTTTCTGAACTTCAGTGTGCCAAAATATCACTGGAGCATTGAGTAAATAAATTATGGCTCTCACTCAACGAATGAGAGCTTTTTATTTTATTTTAACAATATGAGTTTAAATCAACTGATTAAATCTGAATAAATATCCATATTGGAGAGCGAGAATCATTCTGAAGGAGGAAGTATACATTTAACTGCACTTGCGCAATATAGCACAGCAGGTACTGTTGTATTTATCTATATCACTGCCTTCCTCTCAGTGCAGGACCCGAGGTGGCTCACAGCACAAAGTAAAACAGATGCAGTTAAAAAACACGCACACAATAAATATAAATATTTAAAAAAACCATTGAGTAACCTTTTTATAAAAAAAAGCACAGAAAAACCTATAATCATTTAAAAAGACTTGTGCTCAAAAAGGACCCACCGCAGCAGCCAGTAAGTGGCCAAAGGTCTGCTGGAACAGGAAAGTGTTCCTTTTGCTTGCTGGCAAAAAGAAAACACAGAGAAGGCCAGCCTAGTCTCCCTCGGAAAGGAGTTCCACGATCAGAGAGGCCACCAAGAAGGCCTTCTTTTGTGTCCTTTGCCAAGCATGCCTGTGAGTGTGGCAGGACCAAGAGAAAGGTAGGAGATAGGGTCCTTCATATATCCTTTGAAGAGAGGTACCCTCAGGAATATCAGAAGTTGTGTTATACAGAGTCGGATCAAAGGTCCATCTAACTCAGCACTGCTTGCAGTGACAGCAGCCCTGCAGGATTTCAGAAAGTGACCCTATCCTAGCCCTACAAGGAAATGTCGGGTCTCGAACCTAGAACCGTCTGCAGGTACAGCAGCTACCACTACTGAGTTTTGGCCTTATCTTCTATCCCGAGAGGGCTATCTAAGAGGGTATTAGCCAAATGCTGGTGGTGGTTATAATAAAATTAATATTAAAAAAGTAAACAAACAATCTGATTTATTGATTTGGAAGTTGAAACCCTGTAATAAATGTGCAGCCCATTTTGGGCCCATTATCCAAGATATTAAATGGCCTTCTTTCCTAAGAGTGATGGCTGCAGCTCCAAGATTTGGAGTCCCCATGTTTCTGCGGTTTGTACAGTCCCCGAGCTGCCTCTTTCATCCCTCACCCTACATAGGCAAAATAATGTTCCAAGTGTCCGGATGCAAAGTGGCTGAGAAACTAGACAGTGAATGAAAACAAGTCCTATGAGAAAAAGTTGGAGGAGTTTGGTTTGTTTATCTAGAGAAGAGGAAATGGAGAGGGGAACTTGAGAGCAGTCTTCAAATACCTAAAGGACAGTCAAACTGAAAAGAGCAAACCTCTGTTGCCAGAGAAGGAAGGTCTAGATTTAGGTACACTTTGGTAGAACATTAAGGGTGGTAATTAAACCCAGTTTTGCTCAGTGAAATTAAAGCATAATAACTAAGAGGAGTCCATTCATTTCACTGGGTCAACGCTGAGTAAACCTTAGCTGAATACCACCCCCTAAGAGAGCCTGATTGACTGTGACAACAGTCTGACACTACAACAAATTAACTAACCATAGGTTTAAGAAGGTCTGGAGATTATCAGTGTCTGGATGGGTAAAATGCCTGGGAACCAGATGGGAGGCTGCCTTTGGTTACTGTCTCCCCCCGTGTTTTTCTACTATGATATTTTGTTTTATGTTGTAAACCATCCTGTGGTCTCTTGATGAAGGATGATATATAAATATGGTAAATAATAATAAGGCAGTGAAAAGGTGGGACGTAAATATAAGAAGGGAATGTGCTTTCCCTCACTGGACAGTTATCCATTGAGGCGGCTTTGTATTGTGCATTGAGCAACAGAGCGGACTAGATTCTATGTATGATCCTATTATCAAACGTCACTTTTGCTAGAAGTCTGCTGGGTGGCCTCAGACCCAGAGCTGTTCTCTCTGCCTCAGTCACTGAATATCATGTCATATTGACCCCCCCCTACAGGATTGTGACAAATAGTAGCGAGACAACAGGTGTGAAGAATTCTGCTCTTAAGGAGTAAGGTCAAGCTCCTTCCAAATTAGAAAGCATTATTGCAGTTTCGAAATCTCCACTTTGTGTCTTTTTTCTGAACTATGTAGATAAGCAATTTCCACACTTGAAGGGAGGGAAGAGAAGTGTGTTTAGGATTAATGAACTTGCTACACAGAGAGCAGAAAGGGGGTGGGCGGGGAAAATCCTTATACACTGCTAATTTAATTAAAGAATTATCTTCTCAAAATACATCTAAATGGCCCCAAACTAATACAGACCCAACCGATCGCTTTCATCAAAATTGCAAGTTGCTCCAGATTCGAGCTGAGAATTCAACAACACACAAAGCCAAAATGAAATATTTCCTTTTTCTGCCAGAACTCACAGGAACTCAGTTCTAGCACCTCTCAGGTGGGTGCCATTGCCATTGTAAGAGAACAAGGGAGGTGTTCATAGTGAGTTCCAGCACCTCTTTTTTCTAGAAAAACAACACTGAGCACTTCCTTCACAAAGCCAACCAATGAGACCCAACCAATGTCTTTTCTACCTTGGAAACAAGTCAAGGAGTCAGAAAATCATTTCCTAGCCATACTGCATAGTCACAGAGACCACCACGTTCAAATTTAGTGATCACCATGACATTCCAACTCCCTTGGAAATAAAAGCCCATTCTGAAAGTGCGAAAACAAATTTCTCTAATGAATTCTCTTTAGTGACTTATGAAGTGTAATAACATGTCTCTGGGGACTTATCTTCGCTCTCTCTCACACACACACACAAAACCTGAACAGTGCTCCAAGTACCCCCCGATGACTACAGAGAAAATCTCAACTTCAATAATCCTAAAGGTCAGGGGCAATATTAAATAAGACAGATGTTCTTGCTATTCGACATACTTAAAGGAGTTGGCTAAATTCATTTTAACTCCAATTGCTCCCAATAGTTATTTTTTTTAAAAGGGTTTAATTATTTTTAGATGCAAAAAAGAAGCCCATCACCTGCCGTGTGTGTGTGTGTGTGTGTGTGTGTGTGTGTGTGTGTGTTCTCTTCGTTCTAAGAAGACAGCTTCTGTTTTATTTAGCAGCCAATTATCTGAACACCAGGTGTAGGAAATGGCTGTGTTTACATTGGGTGAACACCAGGAAATGAGACTGTGGGGGGAAAGCAGCAGGCGAGAGGTCCAAGGTGCGGCAGCATTACTGGTAAGAGGTTTGCATAATTAAGAATCCAGGCAATTAGGTCACAGGGATGGATACAAATAAATTCACACCAATTTTTACAGCTCCTGTCAGCACACCACTACTGCATCCTGTCCCTTCCATAATGTTCTCCTTTAAATGAATAAAAAAATAGTTATGTATCTCCTCATTCACATGGGGACAGGGACAAAAGCAAGCAGAATTATAATCCACCACCATAAGCACACACACACACACCATGCCTTGTCTCCTGAACATCTTGTCAATGGAAGTAGGAAAGGGGAGAGTAGGGAGCTTTTTAAAGCTAAATTGCTTTAAAGCCAGGTTATAATGCAACCATAGGACAGGAAGATAGTAAGGCAAAGCAAAGGCAACTATATGGCTGACATTAAAGGCAAGCACCACTGAGTCTTATGGTAAACAAGAGGCTTACAAGCACCTGTCCAACACTGCAGAAACTGAGACTTAGGCTTGGGATTGGATAGGTGGAAGGCCAGCAAAAGCAATTAATGTGTGTTGAGCAAAGAAGAGGGGAAATCTGGTTCCTGAGCATTGGGAACAATTGATCCCTCTCAAGAACTATGAAGGCTACTAGTTTGTGCATATATATTAAAAAGAGACCAAGATTTTTATTACAGGATTGGATTCTGTATTATAGCATCTAGGTACACATCAGATCT